TTTCACCAAAAAATAAATGGAAAAAGTAGTAGTAAAAGACGATGGCTAAATTTCTTAGACGCTACTTCAATATATAATATTACTTTAGAACATATAAAAGGAAATGATAATTCTTTAGCAGATCAACTTAGCAGGCTTATAAAAACTAAATGTTCTGTTTCAGCATGCATACAGGAAAAGACAAAGCAAGAGCTTTCAGCTCAAGCAGCGCTACAACTCAGAAAGACAAAGACTTATATCTACAGGCTATGTTAAGAAATACTTTGTTCAAACCACATACAAAACTTGAAGAAGCCAGATGAAACTCCCCAAACATAGAAAGACTTTATTTTGGAAAATAAAACCTGATATTTTATCCACCATCTAACTTAAGTTTTCGAGTGAAACCAGAGACAAAGATAGACAGACCTCAACGATGCTTGATAGACAATCGGTGGATAGCCTACAACAAGATACCAAGAGACAACAACTATTTCATTTCAGTATTAAATTCATTAAGCCATTAATCTACTGAGAAAAATGAAAATAAGAAGTTTAAGTTCTATGTGGTAGTTCAAGGAAGACTAGCAGACATTTTTCAGACATGGACAGAAGTAATAAGTTCTATAAAAGACACTTCCCCACTCCCCTCTTCAAAGGGTTCGATGATTTAAACGAAGCCCTAGACTATGCAAGAGGAACTTTGGGACCAAACTATTTCATAAGCCCAGTTTTAAGACAAACGACAAGCCAATTCATACAATACAATATCAACAAAGACGCAAACAAAACCATATTTTGTGATCATTGTTCATTAATGACAGAAGGATTTAGAAGACAAAACCAAAATATTGACAGACTCGAAAAAGAAAAAGAAAAATTGACCCAACATATTCATGTCCTATAAGAAAGAATTAAGATTTTACAATTTGATATCCACCAGACCATGCAATTATCAGACAATCAAAAGAGTTCTCCATCTCAGTCCAGAATGGATAAGACGGGTGTGCATTCCCCAAAGAATGTAGAAAGAGCTATTGTATCGGCTAAAGATACATCTAGTCCCATTCAAATGGTAATGAGTAAAGACTTATCAAATCCGTTGATGGCTGACACTTTGCCAAGAAGTGGGAGAATTTTACCGGCTAGTTTTAATAATGTAGCCACAACAGGAAAAGAGACAGGCAAGAAGACTAAAGGTTTTTTACTAAAAAAAAAAAGACAAAAAGATTGAACGTTTAATACAGAGTTCGCTCCACAAAATACTCAGCGAAAAGACTAAAGAAGTCGTAAGAGAATACCCAAACCCAGAACCAGAAACAATAGACTCTGATCCCGAAGGTTCAGGAAGTGACGAATACAATCCATCTATGGATCAATTTGCTCAAGACCCTAATGAAGACGACGATTCAGGAATGAGTTTCGACTCCATAGCACTACACAACCTAGACACGTAGAAAGAAGAACATACGTAAGCAATGACGATAGGTAAGAAAAGACAAAAAAGGATATGTAAGCAATGACATCAAAAATCACTACTCTAAAAAGAAGATAATAAAGAAGACTCCACCACACAAAAGCAAGAAAAAGAGGACAATTATTTTGACAAAGTTTTCAAAGACCATGTGACGATGGGGCCCAAAGAGCACCTGACAGGTGAAGAAAGTTTATTCAAAATTTGAAATCCGGCTCTTCAGCTATAACTAAGAGACCATTTGCTAGAAGAAAGATAGAGGTAGAGAGCGAAGGAGCAGAGCAAACAAAGCATATTAGAGATTAGTTTGAGAGTTCTTAAAGTTTTAAGTTTTACATATTTATTAAAAAAATAAAATAAAAAATAAAAATAAAATAATAATAATAATAATGTATTTGAACCTCATACTATGTATAATATATAATCTTCCACAATTAGAAAGTCATATATGCTAACTAAATACGTTGTAAGAAAAATAAATAATGAATTAATAAAGGCTAAATACGTTTAACCTCTTAAACTTATCAATTATTCCATTTAGACACTTAAACTAAATTTTATTTCAATAGAGCATTGTTTGCCAGAAAAATCGGAGAGGTGCGTGTGTGCACAAACTAAGTTTAATTTGTAAAATGGAGTTAAAGACAAGTGAATCATGTCCAATCACATTTTCTTATTTTTTGGCTAAGAGCTAATAATAATAAAAGCAGATTAAAATAATATTCAAGATTAACTTTTAGATAGCTTTGTGACGTCAAACCTTATACTTTTATATATATATATATATCTAAGAACATTGGTTAAGGAAAAGAGATGAACAGAATAAAATAAAGAGAAATGAACAACATTTTAAAAAAAGTAATTCTAGGAGAAATTACATAGATTTAGTAACAAAAAACTACTAAACTAGATAACGGAGCAGGAAGAGGGAGTACTGAGTATGATTTTACAACATAATTTACAAACGCAGCCTATCCCAGCATCCCAGCCTAATTTTATTTAAATTTTTGTAGATGTATGTGTGGGTGATTCGTCCTTTTTAAATTTACTAGTTTTTCGACATGTGCGTTGCACATGATTACCGATTCAGAAAAATATATGTTATAGTAAATAGTATTGCTTATTTAAGTGAAGATTTGAATAATAAGCTTTGCATAAAATAATATTGCAGATTCTATTATTTTGTGCATGTTCAATGTGGATCGTCATATATATCTCTTATTCACGCGAATCTATGAAGATAGTCAATGAAAAAATTTATTAGTTAAATGCAATAATGCATATTTTTATTTCAATTTGATGAGGTTCAATCAAGTAATTAGTCGTATCTCAGTAATATTACCTTATAAACGATATTTGTTGTGTATTTTTCTTGTCATCTAATCAGATGTGCTTTGCACGTGTATTCCACGTTAAACTGTTTAGATGTCATATGAACATGTGAAGAGAACAACTACATTTTATTTTTTAGAACTAAATTTTGTATATTAATTTTTATTTTGTAAGTTATAACATAATAGATGACGTTCTTATTGTTGGCTATCATATTTGACTTCTGGATTGACTATATAAATAAGTCAAAGATAGTTATTTGACTGTCCATAGTTAACTGAGAAAGGTTCCCTTTTTTTTACCGGAAAAACTAAAAATTAAAATTAAATAATATATTATATCTGTGAAATCATATATATAATCACCTGTTTATCTTACACCCAACAAAGATATAGTTCATATACTTGTAAACGATTTTTAATTTACCCAATCAAGCATGATTCATCCAAGAAAAAATAACAACATCGTGTTATCACATATATAGGGGCAGTGTAATAATATGAAAAATTATTGGCCAAAAGTTAATACAAGAAAAGATGAAAGATAGAAATAATTAATGTAATAGCTATGAGAATTCATAATATTATAACTAAAGAATGTTAAAGAGTGTGAATAACATTTGCAATAATTAGTAATAACTAAGAAAATTTATAATGTTATAACTAAAGGATTAATGTGCAATAGATGTATTTCAAATAAATTTATACTTACATAAATAAATAGGACTTTTAATTAATGTTACTATATGAAAATGTTTATTCCATATTACTGAATATAAAATTTATTTTGTAATTGATAAATTTTTAAATGATTCATCTATATTCACATATTTTCATTCTTGAGAAGTTTAATAATTTTGGAAAAAGATGTTCAGAAGCATTTATTTACATCACAAGAGAAATTGTTAACAAAAACAAATGAATTTAGACTAAATCATGTGAACTTCATATATTGGAACATTACATACTAATGTATATATTAAGCAAAAATATAATTATTATATCATCAAAATTATTTTTCTCAAGTAATCGAGGTTATGGAATGTACCCTCTAGGATAGAACGATTTACTTCATCAGAATAGTGATACCTCATATTCCCCTAAACTTCGAACTCACTCAACGACAATAAATCACACAAAAAAATTTAAATGCAAGAAGAAGAGTAGGAGATTAAAAATATTGTGGTTGAAATCTGAGAGGAAGTCCCTCTATTTATAGTCAACAAAGGGTAGTATGAACAACTGTTTTTTGTGTCTTATCTGAAAAGTCATGACCTTTCCGAGAAGTCACAACCCTTTGAAAAAGTCACAACTCACCGAAAAATCACAACCCTTTGAAAATGTCACAACTTATTGGAAAAGTCACAACTCATCGAAAAAGTGACCTTTCCGAGAAGTCACAACCCTTTGGAAAAGTCACAACTTATTGAAAAAGTCACAACTCTTTTGGAAAAGGCACAACTTATCGAATAATCACAACCCTTTGAAAAAAGTCACAACTTATCAAAAAAGTCACAACTCATCAAAAACTCACAACCTAAGTTAGGGATATTATAGTAATTTAACATTCAAGTTAGGAGTTCATGCTTTTTAAGGTAATATAGATATAGATATAGATATATATAAGAGCTTGTTTGGGTAAGCTGACTTAACAAAAAAGATGTGTATCAAACATTTTGAAATATTGAAGCTGATCATAAAAATAAATAATTATGTGTGTAAATAAAAATATTAAAACTATGTGTTTGAAAAAAGATATTTCTAATAAAATAACTTAAATTTTCTTTAAATGATTCAAAAAAAATATAAATTTAAAATTATTTTTCTATGAAAATCATGAAAGGGCCAGGAAAATGGAATGAAGAAATAGTAATTTTATTTCAAAAAAATATATATATAGGAAAATAAAAAAACATTTGATCAAATCAAGTGTACTTGTAAATTTAAAAGGCTTGACCAACTTAGTGACTCTATAATGATTTTGATATACAAGTACTTGACTTATAAATATATTTGATGTTAACCAAACACAAAAATAAATTAAAAGGTGTTTATATGTTGGTTTGCTCGAGTTAGAAGCTTACTTTTTTTTTTTTGGTAACCAACAAGATTATATTAATCACCAAAGTGTAACCATTACAAATCCAATAGCAAAGTCAAACCCAACTTGCTATTCTAAAAAAAACCAGAGACAACTAGAACAAAGGAAAACTAAGCTAGCAATCTAAATGATGAATGGCTTGCATAGTTTTCTGGCTGGCCCTAACACAACAAATATAAGCAATCTCCCTGGCAAGAGATTCCCAAGTTCTGCTATCCTTCTCAAAGATTCTGTGGTTCCTCTCAATCCAAATCGCATAGACATACTCAGTATATACCAACTTAAAAATTTGGGCAGTTGGAGTTTTCCCTTTTGCGGCATCAATGATTCCCAAGACATATTGGCTCCAATTGTTGTAAGGAGCTTGTACAAATTGAATCCATTGTAATAACTTGCTCCAAACCTGTTGACTGTAAGGACACCTAGTATACATATGATCTCTGGATTGAAGATGAAGTCGGCACAAAACACACTTCAACTCTATATCTAGTCCCCATTTTTTGAGTCTATCCGTGGTGTTTAGTCTGTTTTGCAGCTGCAACCACATAGTGAAGACTGCCTTTGGCCTGGCAAAGTTTTGAAACATCAAACACTTCCATGGAACTCTCTGTTGGGGCCGAAACAAGTGAAAGTATAGTTGCCTGATCATACTTTTGTTCTGCAAGACTATGGGCTGAAACTGTGAATAAACTTGTCTAGCCTCCAAAATTTTCTTTACCATCCAACAAGCTTGTTGGGAAATGATCACTTCTTGGAAAGGAGTTCTTTTAATATAGTAAGAGTGCACCCACTTAATCCACAGCTTATCCTGTTTATGCTCTAGGTCCCAACAATGTTTAGCAATAGCAGCCTTATTCCATGAGTGAAGATTAATCAAGTTGAGGCCACCTACTGATTTTGGAGAACAAACTCTTTCCCAAGCCACCAAAGCTTTCTTGGTGATAGTATTAGTGCCCGACCATACGTAACTTCTACAATGCGCATCAATGAGCTTAATCACCTTAGAAGGAATAATAAACAATTGAGCCCAATAGGCTTGAATACCAAATAGAACTGATTGAACAAGCTGCATGCATTCTTCCTGCATAAGACAGTTTTTTGGCTGTCCATGAGGTAATTTTTGCTGTAATCTTCTCAACAAGTGGCATCCATTGTACAAGATTAAGTTTCTTGGTAGATAGTGGAATCCCTAGATATTTGAAAGGTAGGGTTCCTAATGTCAAATCAAGACAACCCAAAATCTGGCCTTGCACTGTGTGAGTGGTGCCTCCAAAATAAATGGAACTTTTGTTTAAATTTTCTTGTAGTCCAGAAGCTTCAGAGAAAATAGTGAAACAGTGTTGTAGCATGGTAATAGAGTGAAGCTCAATACTACAGAATAGGAGAAGGTCGTCTGCAAAGCTCAAGTGTGTAATACCTAGTTTTGAACACCTAGGATGATACTTGAAATTAGCAGATTGCTTAAGATTATTCAGTAGTCTGCTAAGGTATTCCATGGCTATAGCAAATAAGTAAGGGGAGATTGGATCTCCTTGCCTCAATCCTTTTTTTGCATCAAAGGGTTCAGAAGGCTCCCCATTAATCATTATAGTATAGTTCACTGTCTTCACACATTCCATGATCCAGCCTAAGAACTTTGGAGGGAAACCCAGTTCTAATTGTTAGAAGCTTACTCAAACACCCTTTGAGCACTTTTAGTTAAACTAAATATTTTATAATTTTATTCCTAATATCTTTTCTAATTCTCAAAAGTTCTCTTCCAAAAAAGAACTCCCAACTCTTTCCATTACATTTTCCACCATTCACTCTTTTCCTTGTATATATATATTATTTTTTAATAGGATATAGTAGTCATTTTAATAAGACAATATTTTTCAATATTTTTTTTATCAAGTATATGGATAACTTATTATCAATTTCAACACTACTATTAAAATAAATAATTATTTATTTATAAAATCAATTTCATCATCAAAATGTATTTTTTTCAACGATTAATGTTTATCGACTAAGTCAAATGGGCTCTAAGTATTATCCTTACCATAATTATATGTTTATTTTATATTATATATGCTAGCTGAGTAAAATATTAGCACAAAATATATCACTCTCTCCTTATTGGCACATTTATAATTAGCAGCTTAAAATTTCCTCGACCTCTTTAGAACTTAAAAATATGAATATGACATTGGAATACATTGTTCAAAGGTTGGAGGATCTGAAAACACCATGAATGAACATTGAACTTGGTTTGAACTTCTTTGCTCTATGTAATTTATTTAGAAATATTTTAAGGAAATTAAATCTCAATTTTGGAGTTGTTTGGAGACAAATCGAGGCATATTTGGTTTGATATTCATATTGAAAATTCAGGATTGAACATGACTCTATTTGTGTATATTCTTTGTATATATGTGTATATTCCCATGTATATACACTTGTATATCATGTATATAAGTCAATATCCACGAAAACATATAGCTCCGTCTAGGTATTTTAACAAACTCCAACCACAACTATTAGAAAGTCCATTTAATTTTTGTTGTGATTTCAAGATTAAAGTTGCGGTAAGATTTCATCACTGATGTTTGAAATTTTTGGTGGTAGTGCGTGCATAAATCATTCAATATTTCTACTTTCTTCTGGTTTGAAGCGAAATTTACTTTTCTACATATTTTTGGTTTAAGAAATTACAAGTTGGGCTTGATGAAGAGAGAACAAAGTTTTAGATTACGCCCAATAAGTAGAAAGTGAATAGACATGGCTTAACATGTGACCCCATGTCAATCATGGCTTAACAAAATTTTAGATTAAGCCCAATTACGAGTTGATCTTACCAAAGTTTTATTTTGGAAAACTACTTAATTACACAAGCATCTAGATTTCAAGTAAGATACACATCCATTTCAGATTTCAAGTCAGATACATGCATAATTTTTTATACCAGTCACATTCTAAAGTACAAATATATAAGGAGAGGCGACCGAGAGAGTTAGTTTATCCAGATACATGTAAATCAACTAGATATATGAATCTGGGATACCGGATATATTTTAGATACATTATGAAATACATATACATAGGAAGAGAAGCAAGCAGGATAAGAGAGAGACGCAAGTGAGAGAGTAAGTGTATCCTAGATGCATGTTAATCACGCTTGGATACAGTGTATTTGTAATAAATTACACCTAATTTGACCTGCATGTATTCACAAAATATGTATCTGAGTGCACTATACATGTATCTGATGAAGTAAATCTAATAACTAAGATAATTCCATTTTGATGGACATATTTTCTTCATTATAATTATTAATTACTACGGTAAAACCCTTTTAAGGTGTTGACATCTCAAGATTATAAGTTATTGAGATCTTTCTAATGTAGAAACGTATATTGCTTTCTAATTGAGGGTTTGGTGGAGCTTTTGATTTTATTTTATTTTGTGTACGTAAAGAAAAAAAATGGAATTGATGGATAGCGGTGAGGTGGTGCTTGGAGGAACTTTTGAGGCCTCGAGAGAGTGTATATACAATGTATAACAACAAATAAGAAGTGTATATGTACATTCTTATTAATATATATTCATTGTATGTTCACTGCTTATATACTATATAATATAATTAACATATAAGGTAGTCTATATAAATTATTATACAACGTTTAAGATGTGTATTGAAATCTTTATACACTATTTACATTATTTATACATTTATGAAGTCGCTTTGTGGAAGTGAGGATTTTCTTACAAGGTGGTGGAAATGAAGATTGTGATGGGAAACTTTGTTTTTCCCTTTCCTTCCCTTGCTTGATGAAATCAAAATTGGCTAGGTGGCTGAAATATAATAACTTGCTTAAAATGGTTGTAATCATTTTGTCCTTATTAATATATATTCATTGTATGTTCACTGCTTATATACTATATAATATAATTAACATATAAGGTAGTCTATATAAATTATTATACAACGTTTAAGATGTGTATTGAAATCTTTATACACTATTTACATTATTTATACATTTATGAAGTCGCTTTGTGGAAGTGAGGATTTTCTTACAAGGTGGTGGAAATGAAGATTGTGATGGGAAACTTTGTTTTTCCCTTTCCTTCCCTTGCTTGATGAAATCAAAATTGGCTAGGTGGCTGAAATATAATAACTTGCTTAAAATGGTTGTAATCATTTTGTCCTTATTAATATATATTCATTGTATGTTCACTGCTTATATACTATATAATATAATTAACATATAAGGTAGTCTATATAAATTATTATACAACGTTTAAGATGTGTATTGAAATCTTTATACACTATTTACATTATTTATACATTTATGAAGTCGCTTTGTGGAAGTGAGGATTTTCTTACAAGGTGGTGGAAATGAAGATTGTGATGGGAAACTTTGTTTTTCCCTTTCCTTCCCTTGCTTGATGAAATGAAAATTGGCTAGGTGGCTGAAATATAATAACTTGCTTAAAATGGTTGTAATCATTTTGTCCTACACGTACATTTGGGTAATCTTTTCGTTTTTGGGTCGTCATTTAATTATAAAAATCTATCTAACTATTGCAAACATAAGTTTTATATTTAATTCTTAAAATTCTTCTTTAAAATAATTATCTAACAAAACTATAGTATTATTTTAATAGAAAATATACACGGTTATATCCAATTCCCTATTTCACATATAGTTATAAATTGTATCTGATTAATTTTTTCTCTCACGTATACTATTCGTATTTCTCTCCCGCATCGTGACTCCACCAATTTAACATGATTTACTTTTAATTTCTTCAAGTCCAAATCAAAGATTTCTCTAAATTCATGCTTTTATGAATATCCATATCAGGGAAGTCGTTACATTCAAATATAAAGTATTAAAAAAGTATGTGATTTTCTTAACGTATCTACTGTATCATGATACATCGCGGAAAGGTATCACTATGTAATGCATCAGAAACTTATCATGATACATCATGTATTGAAAATGTACTATATGTAATGTATCATAAGGGTAATACATCATGTATCAAAACCTATAATTATATAATGTATTGAAAAGGTATCATGATACATCCTTTATTAGAAATTTATCATTATTCAATGTATCCGAAAGATATCATTATATAATGTATTGGAAATGTGTCGTAATGTAATGCATTGTATCATGATACATTATCTATCAAAAAAATATCATGATGTAATTAATGTGTCAAAAAGGTATCATGAACAAAAAGATAACAAAGCCAATGAGGCAAATAAAAATTGCCAGATTTTGTTTTTGAATTCTTATGGGAAAGATTGTTACTGGTATCTCGTTTACTATTCTACAATAAATCAATGATGTAAATTAATGTAATTAGTCACATTATTACTTTAATTAGTCATGTTAGTTAAGGAGTTGCACATTTAATGGCAACAACTTGAATTATATATGTGATACAATTGTGCCAGAATTCGATACAAAAAAAAGAAAAAAAAGGCTAAATTATGTAAATAGCAAAAGTCTCGCTGAACAATATAATATACATCTACACTATAGTCTTTTATGAAATTTTCCTTTCTCTTTAATTTATGTCCAGTTTTAATTATTCTTCTTGCAAGTTTATCTATTTTGAGAACGACTTCATACTTATATCACTGAAATTAAAAATTCGTGTCTCACTTCGGACATTTTTGTTTGAAGTGTGACCTTGTAAATTAGGTTAAACATCAGATATTTTTTTCTTGAAGTTTGGTATGGCTAGCCAGCTAGCCAAGACAAATTTCAAATTTTTTTCTTACTGAAGTTGTGGATCTGACAAGACCCAATTATAAATATTTTTTAACTGATATTTTACGTGACTTGCCAAGATTAACTTAAGACATTTTTACTATAGTGCATGTGAATTTTCTTACATAGTCAACCCCTTACACTATCGCACTGGGACATTCGTGCATCTCCTCATCATATGTCTGAATCAAACTAACCTCGTTTGTTTGTATCTTATCTTCCACCAAATTCACTCCCATCTTGCCTCGAATATCCTTATCTTAAATCATATATCCCTTTGTATACCATATATCCATCATAACAGCCTCATCTCCAC